TGACAGTGGTGCAGATGGGACAATACATGAGGCCACTGATGGTGTGAACAAGATCTAACTCTAATGCACAATCAGACTTAGTGGAGCCCATTCTACATGGAGAGAGAACCTGCCCAGCCTAGACACAGGGGTGCCAGGGGGTGGGGAGGCACAGGTGCAGCCTCAAGGAGATGATGGACAGCATTAGTAGATTCCTAGGGAAGGACTTATACTCTACAAGGAGCAGATGGGAGGTGGGGGAGTGGGAGAGGGAAAGGGAGAGGAGAGAGGAGAAACTGGAATTTGAATATAAAATTAATTAATTAAAGAATAATAATATATAATATGTTAAGAAATAAATGAATGGAAAAAAAGCAAAAATATGTATAGGAGCAGAAGATTGGGGGGGGGCATTGGTCTAGGAAATGGAGTTGGGGTCATGCCACTGTGTGTGTCCCCTGAGCCCTGTGGTCTCCAAACTGTGTTACCTCAGACTCACACTATAGAAAATGAGACACAGTGATGTCTGTGTTGCAATGAGGAAATGGAGTGGTACCCACCCTCCTCTTTTATAAGGACAAGGCTGACTCCCCACATGCAAATTCATCTTCTAGCTCTAAGTTAATTCCCCTCCTGAGCTGTGGGAGCTCACGTCTCTCTCACAGGAGGCTGATCTCTGAGAAAAGGGGGTGTAGCCTAGAAGATGAGATTGTTGGGTCTTCTGTACCTGGTGACAGCCCTTCCTGGTGAGTGTGACCATTTCATACATGTGTCCATGAGGGGATGTGACAACATGTGATTGACAGAATTGACTCTTCCTGTCTGCAGGTGTCCTGTCCCAGATCCAGCTTCAGGAGTCAGGACCTGGCCTGGTGAAGCCCTCACAGTCGCTGTCCCTCACTTGCTCTGTCACTGGTTTCTCCATCACCACCAGTGGTTATGGCTGGAGCTGGATCAGGCAGTTCCCAGGGAAGAAGCTGGAGTGGATGGGGTACATAGGTTATAGTGGTGGCACCGACTACAACCCATCCCTCAAGAGCCGCATCTCCATCACCAGAGACACAGCCAAGAACCAGTTCTTCCTGCAGCTGAACTCTGTGACCACTGAGGACACAGCCACATATTACTGTGCAAGAGACACAGTGGGGGGACTTCAGCATGAGCCCAGACAAAAACCTCCCTGCAGAGGAGCTCTGGGCCAGCAGTGGGCGCTCAGCCCTAACCAAGCCCAGGAACTCTTAAGTCTTTAGAACCAGGAAAGAGAAACAACTGTTTTCCCATCCAAGTACTAACCAGGCCCTACCCTGCTTAGCTTCCGAGATCAGACTAGTTTGGGTGTGTTCAGGGTGGTATCACCATCCCTGATTTCAAGCTCTAGTACAGAGCTATAGTCCTGAAAACAGCTTGGTATAGGCACAAAAATAGACAGGTAGACAAATGGAATAGAGATGAAAATCCTGATATTAACCCACACACCTACGAACACCTGATTTTTGACAAACAATCCAAATTTATATGCTGGAACAAAGAGAACATCTTTAACAAATGGTGCTGGCATAACTGGATGTGGACATGTTGAAGACTACAGATAGACCCAAGCCTTTCACCCTGCACAAAACTTAAGTCAAAATGGATCAAAGACCTCAACATAAACCAAACCACACTAACCCTATTAGAAGACAAATTGCTACATACCCTTGAATTAATTGATACAGGAGACCGCTTCCTGAACATTACACCAGTAGCACAGACATTGAGATCAACAATTGAAAAAATGGAATCTCCTGAAACTGCAAAGCTTCTGTAAGGCAAAGGACCCAGTCAGCAAGAAAAAATGGCAGTCCACAGACTGGAAATGATATTCACCAATCCCACATCTGACAGAGGAATGATCTCCAAAATATACAAAGAACTCATGAAGCTAGTCTCCAAAACATCCAACAATCCAATTAAAAAGTGGGGTACAGAACTGTATAGACAATTCTCAATAGATGAATCTAAAAATGCCTGAAAGACACATAAGAAAGTGCTCAACATCCTTAGCCATCAGGGAAATGCAAATCAAAACAACTCTGAGATACCATCTTACACCAGCCAGAATGGCTTAAATGAAAACAACAATGACAGTCTGTGCTGGAGAGGATGTGGAGAAAGGGGGACACTTCTCCTCTGCTGGTGGGAGTTCCAACTTGTACAGCCACTTTGAAATCAGTATGTTGATTCCTCAGGAAAATGGGAATGAGTCTGACAAAAGATCCAGCAATTCCACTCTTAGGCATATACGCAAAAGAAGCACATTCATTCAAGAAGGACATCTGTTCAACAATGTTCATAGCAGAACTATTTGTAATAGCCAGAAACTGGAAGCAGCCTGGATGCCCCTCTACCAAAGAATGGATAGAGAAAATGTGGTACATTTACAGCGGAAAAAAAAACAATGGAATCTTGAAATTTGTAGAAAAATGGATGGAACTAGAAGAAACCATTCTGAGCGAGGTAACCCAATCAAAAAGACAAACATGATATGTCCTCACTCATGTGGATTTTAGACATAAAGGATTACCAGGCTACAATCCACACCACTAGAGAAGCTAGTAAACAAGGAGGACCCTTAGATAGGATATGGAAGATTTGTTTTTGGTGCCCAAAATTATCTCTTCCTGTAATATGTCTTGTGGAATTGTCTCTAGAGGAATTTTTGTATTATATTTTGTGGGAAACCAGCATCATGAGTCCCAGGCTTGCCACACTAATGTTACAAATACAAGGAGTATTTATAGTTCTTGATCCTACTGAACTACCCCAGAATTCTAGGGTGTAATGCATGTGCCATGACAGGGAATTTTCCGGGTGTGGTTTTTGTACTTCCTAGGCAATCACTCAAGCATTTTGTACTATTTTTGTGTCTACCTGACAATTAAGGAAACTCAAGAAACAAGGAGTTTGGTTTTCATTATCAATTAATATGAATAGCTTTTTAGATTATAATATACTTCATTTCCTATTCCCTTTTCTCCCTACCAACCTCCCTTTGGAGACTCCTGTTTTATTTCAAACTCATTCTTTTTTAATTTATTAATATTTATTTCTCTGTGTGTGTGATTTATGTATTTCTAAATAATGATTTCAACTTCAGTTTATGTAATATGTTTTCAGGGTTTTATGGTATTGGCAAACCTAGAAGTATATTCTTGTCTTCTGAAGACTGTTTCTCCTACTCTGGGCTCCTTAGTTGCCTCTAATCCTTCGAGTAGAGCTGAGGCTTGGTAAACTCTCCTCCTTCCATGTTGGTGTGTCTGCTGTTTTCATTCTTGTTTGGCTCATGTTTCAAGAGCCTTGTCAGGTAGACATGATAGATGTTTCTTCTCTAATATGTCTATGAGACACAATCTCAGAGCAGACTTACCCCTCCTAGGGTGCACACTCTTTCTACTTCCTCTTCTACAACAATCCCTAATCCTATGATGTAGAAGATGGGTTGTAGATGTATCAGTTGAGGCTTGGGCTTAACAACTCTGCATTTTATCTGCTGTGGTTTTCTGTAATGGTCTCCAACTTTTGCCCAGACAAGTTTTCTTGATGAATGGAGATAACAACACATATTTTTAAGTATGAAGACAAAGAGTTGGAGTGTACTTAGAAATCATGCTAGTTAGTGGCAGTTGAATGGTTTCCTCCACCATCTATGATGTGAGAAACCCTGGGCATCTGACTAGGTTTCTTGCACCAGGCAGGATTTCCTTCTATTGAGATGGCTTTAAACAAAATGGCCAATTCATAGCATCTCCTAATATAAATATTCCTAACTTGGATTCCAATATCTTTTACAGAGAGCTGTGAATGCATCTTTCAACATTAAGATAGAAAGAATTTGAGACAGCCTGGCTTCCAGGGACTCAAGTGTTTTCCCTAATCATTAACCTGAACTACAGCCTATGCAACTGTGGAGGTGAAACTCATAGGCCCTCGCTGTGTGAAGCTCCCTTGTATTAATTTTAATCTATTTAGTCTATTTAAACTAATTTTATTATTATCAGTTAGACAGTGCAGCTTAAGAAGAAAACATATTCACAATAATGCACAGGTAAAACTTTCCAGTAGAATGGGATATTTCCACATGAGAACACACTATATTACAGGCAGAGAGGATCTCCCCAGATCCATTCACACCATGCCGAGTACCAAAGAAAGATGGCAGCAGCAAAAATGAAACAGTACAGCAAAAGCAAAAGACATTCTGGAGTCTGTTGTCCCAGTTTTGCCAATCAGAGATTCACCCATCAGGGATTTACTTCCTGGTGAGGTGACACCTGATCCTCACTTGCCACCTGCTGCTGCTCTGACAGGGACACCTGCAGACACAGAAGTCAAAGCTCAGCTCCCCTTGAAGTTCAGTTTCTCAGTCACTCCACATTTCTAGGGACAAATAGGTAAACGTGCAGCAAAGAAAAACCAAATTAGATGATAAAACAAGAAATACACAGACTGCCTGGAAAAGGCTCATGCAGGTGATTAGCTGAACACTGGAATTCAGGCATGTCACATGACCTCCATACAGAAAGGGAGTTCTCAACCTCAGGAAGCTGCTGCGCACAAAGCTATAGCTCTGCAGGGAATTTTATGTTCATCAAGGATGAGGTCCACACAGCAGTGCCAACTCCTACAGAAATGAGCATGGGAAAGCAATGTCACTGAGGTTTGTAATCCCAGACACACAGGATTGAGTTGAAATTAATATTAAAATGAGTCTTTTGTTTGTAAAAGGGATAATAGGAGATGATTGAACATAATATAATTTAATAACATTTCCCCAAACATTAGCATTATTATCTGATTCCTCCAGCACATTAACAAATAACACAGGACATGCCATCTCCAGGCTCCACCAGAGCACTTGCTATAAAGCAGGAAGACATGCAAATGGGCCCTCTCTCTGCTCATGAAAAGCAGCCCAGTCCTGACCTTACAGCTCAGAGAGAAGAGCTCAGCTGTGGATCCCAAGACTTCACTCAGGGAGCAGCATGGAGTTGGGGCTGAGCTGCATTTTCCTTGTTGCTCTTTTAAAAGGTAATTTATGGAGAGCAGTAGGTGCTGACTGTGTGAGTGGACATTAATCTGAGGGACAATGGACATGTGTGATGATTTCCTGATCAAGAATTTTTATGTTTTCAGGTGTCCATTGTGATGTGCAGCTGGTGGAGTATGGGGGTGGCTTGGTGAAGCCTGTAGGGTCCCTGAAACTCTCCTGTGCAGCCTCTGGATTCACCTTCAGTGACTGTTGGATGAACTGGGTCTGCCAGGCTCCCGGCAAGGGGCTGCAGTGGGTTGGAAATTTTAAATATGATGGCAGTTACACAAACTATGCACCATCCGTGAAGGGCCGGTTCACCATCTCCAGAGACAATGCCAAGAACACTCTGTACCTGCAAATGAACAGTGTGAAGTCTGAGGACACCGCCACTTATTACTGTTCTATATACACACACAGTGAGTGATCTCAGTGTGAACCCAGACAAAAACCTCACTGTGAGGTCGCTCACGGCCACCAGAGGGCGCACAGCACACACAGAACACAGGTTCATCCCACAGACTATGAAGGCATAACTGAGCAATCTGCTCAGCAGCTTAGGCTCCTTCCATCTTCTAGTTCCCAAGAAAGTCTCTCTAAATATTTGTGCTGTGGGTTAATGTTGTCATCAAAATATCTCCTGTGTTTCTGCTTTTATATATGAAACATGGATGTTCCTGTGTCTTTTTTTTTCTCAGATTCAAGCAGATCCTCAGTCAGATTTCTTCATTAGAGTAGCATTTATATTTAAGGGGAAAACACGGGTAAGAAGGGGCCCATTACAGGTGCACAAATGCTCCCAAGGCTCAAACCTCCCTTCCCCTCCCCTCCTCCTGACAATGGTGCACATTAGGTTCAGACATGATCCAGCTGTGCTCTTAGCTAATTCAGTTTATTTCTCCATGAATTTCATCTCTGCTCATCATTAGATTTTTATAAACTTGTCCTTCAGGAAAGTTATTTTAGTGTCTGTGTGGAGATGGTATTTCAATGATGGTTTATTGTCTTCTAATTGACCTGAATATGGGGTCACACACCCAGGAAGGCATTGAACATCTGCATCTGATCACATGATAATGTTCATTAGAAGTGAGATCTACTCACCTAGAAAATCTCTCACATGCAATTGGGCATTTTATGTAAATCTAACAGAGATCACTTTGGGTCTGGGAGGTGTCACATTAGCAGTGACAGAGCCAGATCATTTCTCTAAGAGCCACAGAAATTCCAGCTGTGTCCTCTGAGAAGTTCCTCTCACTGTGCAAAAAACTGAGAAAGTTTGTCTTAGTAACTTTTCTGTAGCTGAGATAAAACAGCAAGACCAACTGTGATGAAGGGAACATGTTAGGAAAGAAAGAACTTAGTTGGGATTTTGGTTTCCAACAATTGAGTCCACAATTTGCAAACCAAAGGCTAAGTGGCTGGAACAGCAGTTGGTGGCTCATAGCTTGATCCCCAAGCAGGCAGCAGAGAGGCACACTGAAAATCCCAAGAGATTATAGAACCTCTGAGCCTTCCCCCATTGACTCACATTCTCCAACAAGACCACTCTTACTGGTACTTCCCAAAGAGTGCCTTATGAGAGGACCAAGTATTCAACATACTAGACATTGGGTGACCTTCCAATTCAAACTACCACAGCCCCAGTCACTGAAAGGAATACAGGATTGGCAGTTAGTAACATACAAGGAGCAGGAATGTTGTAGAAGGTGGAGACATTTCTGTCTGGGAGAGCAGGAAATGGCAGATTCCATTAGCTGAGGCCCAGAAGTTTGGGCAGACCTCTTCGTGTCCATGAAAAGTAGTTTTCCACCAGGTGTATGTTCCACATTGTATGCTAAAAAGCTCCACAAGAATCTCCTTAGTGAAAGCTGAAGGTGGTATTTTATGATGAGGTCATATCTCAGGGACAGGAATGGCTCTGCATTTGGCAACAGAGAAGGATGTAATAGTAATTACACTTTATCTAACACGTGTTCTCTCTGAAGTGCTTTCCACCTCACATGTCACAGACTGAGACATGCCTACAGCACTGATTGGAGATATATTAAATAGACTCTCATGTTGACTCTCTCTGAGTTCTGGAATTTTAAGTGTCATGAAGCAGTTCAGAGAAATGTTCTGATTGCATGTGTTACTCTGATACAACTTTACAAGAATATTTTCTTATTGTAAGCCCTTATTGTCAGGGAGAGCCAATCTAGATTTGTATAAACTTTTGTCTGATTAAATTCCTGCATTTTAATTTTTGTGCTGCATAATCCACACTTGCACTCATGTTTTTTTTTTTTTTTTTTTTTTTCCTTGGGACCACAAATATATAAATTTATTTTTAATGTATGTGGGTGTCTATATGCATTGCAGTTCATATCACAGATTAAGACAGATCACCACACTTTTATGTCCTCATGAACAAGGCATGTGAAAGACAACATGAGTGTTCCTGGTTAGAAATGAAGTTCTCTCTTCAGAAGAGTCTATCGCCTGCCTTCCCTGCAACAGGAACCAGCGGTCCTTGCATCTCTGACCCTCTGGCCCCTTCCCCCAAACTCGATGACTTTTCCTCTGTATCATCCATTCCAGGATGAGTGTGATGATCTTGGAATGTAATGGACACAGGTCAGATATTCTCCAATTCTGAGATGCATAACTTAATCATAGACCAAAAGTCAGTTTAATGTTGATCAGCCCCTGGAAAGGGAACCCAAGTGTTAGTGCAGCTCTTACAGCCTGTCCAAGTCTAAGGGTTCAGAGCCTCACTGCACTCAGCATTCTGGGTTTTGTTTCTCTTTTCAGTGTTTCTACCTTAGAGTCTACCTAGTATCACCGATCATAGTTTGGACAAATCTTGACATATTTATCTTAAAGGGTTTAAAACATGACGATGTTTCACACATAAATATTAACTTTTTGTGTCACTATCTTTAATGAAATATACAGTTCACTCAAAAGTCTTTCCATATATTCAGTCATGATCACACCAATGTGCAAGTCAGTCATTGTGCAAGTTGTGAAAGTCAGGCAAACCACAAACATCTCTGTGACGTTGTAAAAAACATCAAAGTTTATAAGAAAAATCCTTCAACATCTCTGATATCAGTGAAGAAATTCCCCAGAGCCTGTGAGCTCCTACTCCCAACATCCTTTGCCCATTGTGCTGTCCTCTGGAATATCTGAAAATATTGAGTAAATCACTTCATCTGCTTAGAGTTTATGTTATCTACTCTTCTTGACACTCCTGTTTTATACTGTATTCTGCTGGACACTTTCAGTTACAAGTAGTTAGGAATTTACATACATAGTTCTGTGTGCCTAGTCAATACCTAAAAACTACTTAGAGTCTCATAGAATATCTGTGTTTCAGAGATGATCTTAATTAATACAGTTGTCTGATGTCACATTGATTTTTCTAAAGTTGATATAAATTCCTCATTCTTTCAAATGAAATACTCCCATTGTGTCTCACATATAACCATGTCTTTTTGATGAAGTCATCTGCTGACACACATGAAGTGCAAAAATTTCTGAGGTATGTTTCCTTTAGGTCAGTTCTGTGAGTTTTTTGTATGTAGCCTTCTTGAATGGAAAATATTAATTCTATATATTAGAATGGGGGATATAATTGGCAAAATTTATTTTAAATTTCCAGTCATTACCATCATCATCACAACTACCTGCTGTAAATCAGTCTGACAAGCTTGTCACAAAGCAGAGCAACTGCTCCAGGTCTGAAATCTGCTGAGAGCTTAGGTCCTAATGTTTCACCCACAGCATCTGCACAGATCTGAGAGAAGGGTAAGGATGCCTTTCCTCAGACAGGAATGGAATTTGGTCTTTAGCATCTTTTTACTGTCCCAGGTGTCCTCTACCTCCTTCAAAACTGCACTAAGTACTTATTTAAAGAAATGTTCTGCTCATGAATATTCAAATCATGTGAGTCTATGGAGGTAAATACACAGGTGTCCACACCCAAAAACAGCTTATGACCAGTGTCCTCTCCACAGTCAGTGAGCACACAGGTCCTCACTACGGGATGGAGCTGGATCATCCTCTTCCTGGTGACAGCAACTACAAGTCAGGGCTCCAAGTTACAGACTTGAAGAGGGGCCATTAACTCAGGGGACAGTGACATCCACTCTGCCTTTCTCTCCACAGGTGTCCACTCCCAGACTCAGCTGCAGCAGTCTGGGGCTGAGCCAGGGAGGCCTGTATCCTCAGTGAAGATGTCCTATAAGGCTTCTGGCTGCACCTTCATTGATTTATTAACTGGGAGAAGCAGAGTCCTGGACAGGACCTGGTGTCGTTTGGAAGGATTTATCCTGGAGATGGTGATGCCAACTACAATCAGAAGTTCAGGCAAGGTCACCCTACTGCAGACAAATCCTGCAGCACAGCCTACATGGAGCTCAGCAGCCTGACATCTGAGGACTCTGCAGTCTATTACTGTGCAAGACACACAATGTTGTAACTACATCCTGAGTGTGTCAGAAACTCTGAAGGAGCAGGACACTGAGATAACAGAGAAGATAAGACTAGAGACTTGCTCAGAAACAATTATTCTGTGTGTTCCTCTGTCATTCACTGTCCTATAGGGTCTTTGTCAACTTTTGTAAATACTGTGGGAATAAAGTGATGCTGATTTAGGATTATCTTAGAATACTCCATACATTGATCAGACCTCTAACAGTGACCACCTCCTTCAACATGATTCATTTTTAATAAAGCAAAATATTACAATCTGCAGCAACACATCATGATATACATATCTCTTAAATACAAGTGTCTGGAGCTGTTGCTGGAGTATCTGGGAATAAGCTATACTACAGGTTATTCCAGTAAGAGAGAAATAAATAGCATATGGGCAAATAAAAGCCTGTTTCATAGTCCAATGTGATTTGCCTAAAGCAAGCAAAGGCAGTTTGTTGGAAGTGGTCCCCATTTATATTGGGGGTAGGTGCCACATGGACATAATGATAGGAGAGACTCCAGTCTTCATAGAATTTCCGTGAGTGCACATGAGACAGTGTAAGTGTTTGGGGCTGTGAGAGTGGATCTGTGTTATTGGTAAATGGGAAAAGAATAGATACCAGCATGGGACTGATCCAGACACCAGGAACATGGGTTTCTGTGAGGAAACCTCAGAAATCTTGGGACCTCTGTAGAAGCCCGGTATTTATCCCTAGCATAGGTGTGGACTTTGGGAGCCCATTCCATATAAAGGAAAACTCCCTGAGCCAAGACACACAGGGGTGGGCCTAGGCCCTACCCCAAAGGAAAATAAAACACTAGTTTCTATTATTAAAAAAGAAGTACCAGGGAGAGAGAGAGAGAGAGAGAGAGAGAGAGAGAGAGAGAGAGAGAGACAGAGAGAGAGACAGAGACAGAGACAGAGAATATAAAGATGAGTGTATAGAGAACATAAAGATGATTGGATAAAGGTAACAAATATCTGACAAGAGTTTGATGGGTGTATGACAAAATACATTGCATGAATAACAGTAAATGTTACAAGTTATTTTTTTTTTTGGTTTATAAAAATGAAAAATCCCGTGCTCAACTATTAAGGAACAAAAGGGAACCTGAGTTGAAAAACAGCCACCACTAACATCCTCTGTCACTCCTCTGCTCACACACTCCTCTGCTCAGTCTTTTCTCTCTTAGTCATGTCCATCCCCAGTGAAAAACATATCTCTCAGACTAAAATGTTCCTCTCAGTTTGCTAGAGGAGCTGTAACAGAATTCCCATAACAAATAAAACAGGGAAAAAAGCAAATTAAAAACTGCAAGTTTACGAAGCTAAAAATTTCCATTTTGTTTTGTTTGGAGTGAGAGACAAACGTTCAGACAAGAAAATAGATTTTTGTCATCAATTGATAAAAAGCACAGTCCTGGATCATCAGGGGTTTGGGTTGAGAACAAGGTTCTTTTTATAGAACAGCTGAGCACTAGGACCCTGAAATCATGCTAGGGAAACATCAAATGAAATTTCCCCTATTGCTTTGCCCTTATCACAGCTGATATCAAAGTGGCATCATTGCATTTAATGTACCTCTACCTGTAGTTATGGAATTAATATAATATTTTATATACCTTCAATTTCTAAGTATCGTGATGATACCAGTCCAAACTTCCATGCTTACTTTTATGTGGATTTATTTTTTCCAGTCTGCTGCAAGTAATATTACTAGATCATGACTATGAGAAACTGTGTGTGAATATCATCCAGAAGTTCTTGGGAGAAGAAACCCACTGAGATGACACCCTCTAAATGTGAAAAGGGCATAGAAATGAACAAAGACCATGCAGCAGAATCTAATGTCCACATTCCAGACTTGATGGATCCTATAGATCATCCATACTCCTGATCAGAAGCAACTCCCATAACAGATCAAACTGATGCATATGAAGCACAGGCCAGCAGGGGATGACCACACCTCAGCCATTTATGGTCCTAAGGAACAGATGCAAAGACAGAACAGCAGGGGGTCACTGCTTGTGTCTGGAGTTTCTTCCTTTTGCCAACCCACACATAACCAGGCTAAATAAGTGAAACCTGGCAGAGAAATGGTTTGGTCATGAAAGGTCTCAAAGTAGAAATCACTTCAGATCAGCCACTCACTGCATTTAGTTGCTTTAAATGAAGTCACTTTCCTGCAAGTGCCACAGAATCAATCATGTCATAGTCTGTAAGAACTCTTAGCCATAATGATGTTTCTGTAATAGTTGAATTAATTAATCCATTAAACAATTACTTCCCAACTCTCCTTTCTAATACACAGTGACTATTTTAGGGGACCACTTGGAACTGATCCCACAACCACCAAGAAAATCCTATATCCTAAGGGGATTGGAGAGATTGGAAGACATAAACCATTGCACTACAGACCACGCAACAGATTCTTCTCCGTCCTGTTGTAATCACAGACAAGGATCCTTTATTTAGTTTGAGTAAATTAATGTCAGAAATGACAAAGATGTTAACTAACACACCCCAAACACACCCCAAACATAAAGGTAAAAGAAGATTGTGATGTGTTCAATATTTCACGAGGATTAGCCTCTGTACTACTAATGTTTATTTAATGTGTGTAATATACATACATATATATATATATATGTATTCTATAATGAGGATAAAACTTGTGTCTTGTACATGTTAAACTTTCCCACCATGCTGTCCCAGCCTAGTTTCAATAATGTAATTTAATGTACACTTCAGTATTCATCCATCTTTACATTAGTTCCCATTGAATTTTCAAATTGTAATGTTTAATTTTTAAACTTCCATGAACTTACTGTATAATATTTGATAAGATAAGCAGGGAAGAGTTCATGTAATAAGAAGAAAAAATTAACGATGTTGACTGTTTTTGTAAAAATAATGAATAATATTTTAATGAAATCATGGTCCTCTCTGGTTCATTTTCTCTCAGACATTTGCACCATTACCTGTTGCCTCTAAGGCTCTCACACACCAGAGAATAATATATATCAGGAAGATATGCAAATACGGCCTCCCTCTGCTCATAAAAACCATCCCTGCCCTCACCCCGCAGGTCAGGCAGAGCACTCTAGCCCTGTCTTCCTATTCAGAGATCAGCACTGAAAACACGACAATCAACATGGGGTTGGGGCTGCACTGGGTTTTCTTTGTTGCTCTTTTAAAAGGTAGATAACACGGGATACTGAGTGTGTGAGGAGACATGAGTGAGAGAGACAGTAGACTTTGTGACAGTTTCTTCATCAGGATCCTCTCTGTTTGCAGGTGTCCACTGTGAGGTGCAGCTGGTTGAGTCTGGTGGAGGATTGGTGAAGCCTGCATGGTCACTGAAAGTCTCCTGTGCAACCTCTGGATTCACCTTCACTGACTATGCCATGCGCTGGGTCCGCCAGTCTCCAGGGAAGGGGCTGCAGTGGGTTGCAAGCATAAGTACTAAACCTAATAATTATGCAACCTATTACTCAGATTCGGTGAAAGGCAGATTCACCATCTCCAGAGATGATTCCCGAAGCATGGCCTACCTGCAAATGAACAACCTGAGAACTGAGGACACGGCCACCTATTACTGTACAGCTGACACAGTGAGGAGTCTCCAGTGTGAACCCAGACAAAAACCTCCCTGATAGGTTCTCATAGCCAACAGGGGGCGCTCAGTACATATAAAGCCCAGCTTCAGAAGTAATTGATTATTTTTGTGGTTTTTATCTGGGTGTCCTCTCCATCTGCTGGTTTTCTGGGGGATCCATTCATAATTATAGACTCAGAAAATGATCACCACCTCTAAAAAATATTGATTCTGTTTTTACTAACATTCTTAAAACAAATATGTTACCTAGTCCTCCCTGAATAAATGCAGAAAGTGTCTGTGAGGGGAGAGTGATTCCCTGTGGTCACCAGGATATAAAATTTTAAAATAACAATTTTCATTGTTTTAGAATTTTCATACTCATGTTTTTCGTACAATGTATTTTTCGCCCCCATCATCTCTATCCTTCATTTTCTTTCCTCTCCTAATTTATGTGTATTCTACTAGACAAGTTCACTTACACTTCATCATGGATTGGTACTCATAATTGTATGTAAGCATGCAATATCTAAAAACTACATTTGAGAGTCTCATTCAATGTCTAGTCTTAATTAGTACATTTATCTCTAGTTGCTTCCATTTTTTATCACTAAACTAAGTTCCACCTTCCTTGTAGATGAAAAACTTCTGTTGTGTTATTTATATGACCATGTCTTCTTGATGAGATTCTCTGGTGACAGATGCACAGTTTATTTCCATAATTTAGTTACTGTGATGCTGCTGCAATAATCATTGTGGTGTAAATATTTCTGAAGTATATTTGCTTTGGTTCATTTGGGGGAATTTCTTAGTAAATAATCTTTTGGAAAAGAAAATATTAATTGCATGTATCTGAAAGGAGGCTGTAAATTTAAAACTCAGCAGGTTTTAAATTCTTCATCACTGTCATCATCATCATCATCATAGTCAACATCTGTAAATCAATGTGTTAACCTTGTCACACATTGGAGTCACTGTCTCAGTCCTGAAATCTATTGAGATCTTAGGTCCTGCTGTTACTTCCTTAGCATCTGCAGAGAGCCCAGGGAAGAAGGATGCTGTACATATGCTCAGAGAGGATTAGGACCCAAACTCAAGATCCTGCTGCCTGACACAGGTTTCCTCTGTCTTTTTCTCCACCAGGAATAGGCCTTATCTAAGAACTACCCTGCTCATGAATATGTAAATTAGGTGAGTCTATAGTGGTAAATACAGGGATGTCCACACCACCAACAACATATGAGCAGTGTCCTCTCCACAGTCACTGAGCACACAGGTCCTCACCATGGGATGGAGCTGGATCATCATCTTCTCTGTGTCACTAACCACAGGTCAGGGGATTTCCAGTTCCAATGCTGAAGAAGCAACAGGGACTGAGGAGACAAAGATTTCCACTCTGCCTTTTCTCTACAGGTGTCTACTCCCCGGTTGAGCTGCACCAGTCTGATCCTCAGCTGGTGAAGCCTGGCTTCTCAGTGAAGTTGTCCTGCAAAGCTTCCGGCATCACCTTCACTGACTACTATGTTTACTGGGTGAAGCAGAGGCCTGGACAGGGACTAGAGTTGGTTGGAGATATTGATCCTGAAAATGGTGAGACTGACTACAATCAGAAGTTCCAGGGCAAGGCCACAATCACTGCAGACACATCCTCCAGCACAGCCTACATGGAGCTCAGCAGGCTGACGTCTGAGGACTCTGCAGTCTATTACTGTGCTACACACAGTGTTGCAACCACATCCTGAGTGTGTCAGAAACCCTGGAGGAGCAGGAAGCTGCCCTGGGACTGAGATGAAAGAGAAGATCAGCCTGGGGCCTTGTTCAGAAATAAGAAATCGGAGTTTCTCTTTGTTTGATTCCTCCTCAAAGGCATATATTACTTTTGTCAACTTTTCAAAGGACATTTAAGTACAAAGTGGTGTTGATTAGAATCCTCAAGAGTATACCATATCCTTAGGAAAACTCCATCAGTGACTGCCTGCACTGACACAGTTTTTCTTTTTTTCTTGTTTTTTTTTTTTTTTTTTTTTTTTTTTTTTTTTTTTTTTAGACTGGGTTTCTCTGTGTAGCTTTGCAGCCTATCTTGGCACTCACGCTGTAGACAAGGCTGGCCTCGAAGTCACAGAGATCCGTCTGTCTCTGCCTCCAAAGTGCTGGGATTAAAGTTGTGCAGCACCAACGCCCACTGACACAGTTTTTCTTTAATAAAACAATAAATGTACAAAACTGTGATGATGAATTACCATGACGATATATAAGAATTTTGAGTGATGAGAATTTTTGGAGCAAGAGCAGAGAATAAAGTATAACACAGTTGACCTGTCAATTCCAAATCACCAACAGAGTGCAAATAAAAACTCCTTTCATAGTCTTAAGTCTTCAGTGACCTCAAGGTATGTTGTCGACTCTGACCTTGTGGCCTGGTCAAGTTCCCATACCTTATAATGAAAGACATATTTATATCAGAATCCACTGCCTTGTTAGCATGATTCCTATAAATTGGACACATGTACTATTAAAATATTTTTACAGGTAACTTTTATCAACTGGAGGCATGTGCATGCTATTAGAGGCAGCTTCTGAGATTATACCTTAGTCTCGGCTGCTATAATTATTGCTTTTTCAGTCCAAGTACCCAGCTCTACAGTACCAAGTCTCTCCAAAACATTGCTATGGCATCAACTCTTCAGTCATTGGATACCAGCTCCTCATCCTCATGCTATGGAATATTTGGTTTTCACTAGTGTGTGAGTAACAAGCATGGAGACCAAGGGTGCTTAGTCATCTCAAGTGCTGGATTCAGTGTGATGTCCCATATCTCATAACATTAGTTTGCATGTCCCTGTATTGTATCCCCTTCCCAGTAATGATAACTCTTTCTGCCAGCTTCCTGGGTTCTGCTGCTGCTTAGGACCCCAAATAACACACAGAGTCTTATATTAGTTACAATGCTGCCAGCCAATGACTAGGATTTCTTATTTGCTCTCTCAGTCTTAGTTATCAACCATAACTACTAATCTATATATTTTTATAAGGACTTATCTTACCTAGGATGCTGGCCTTATGAGTCTGCTCTACCTGAGATCACATCGTGACTCTCTTTTTAAAACATTTCCCAGAATCCTCCTTCTCTCCTAGTCCTGCCTAACTTGCTTCCCTATTGGCCAACAGTGCTTTATTTATCAACCAATAAGACAAACATATATACAGAAGGACCTCCCCCATCACCCCCAAGACAAGTTCAAGTTCCATGTCCTTAACATAGGTGAAATATATACTTTATGCTTTGTGGCAGACATGAATCCCTAGGCCAAATCTATGTTAGAGATTATGCAAATCCATGCTGAATTTAAAATACTACCGGACACAGCAATGGTTGTATAAATTACTCTCTTCTCTTCCTCCAACTGGGGTGCCTAGAATGACCAGAAAGCAGGAGATTCTTCACATCCTGGCCCCCAACTCAATGGAATTCTCTGATGTACCAGGAAGGCATCTGTTAGTGGCTGTAAAGACATGACTTTAAGACGTATCTGGTGTATTCTGGGGGAGTCATTTTAAAGCCCAAACACCTCAGACTGCAAAGTGACCCACTGTGTACAGCCATGTGGGAATCAGTGTGGCTTTTCCATAGGAGGCTGGGAATAGATCTATCCCAGCATTCAAAATCACCATCCTTGGCTGTAAACCCAAAGGACTCCACATCTTACTAGAGACACTTGCACAGCCATGGTCATTGCTGTTCTAGTCATAATAGACAGAATTAAAAACATTGTAGATGATATCAGTAGAAAAACAGAAGAAGAAAATATGGTACAATGGTTATAATCCCTTAGATGTACAATCATGACATGGCTATAGGACATGTAGATACAATATTTTCCAAAAACTTAAGGTATGAACCAACCAGTATATAGATTACATTTAAGGTCTATACCATGAGGTGGAACCAATCCTGACACTGTGGTGGCCAAGAACCAAAGATTAACAAATCTTTGAGATTTGTTAAGCAGACTCATAAGGCCAGCATCCTAGGTAAGATAAGTCCTAGAGAAAAAAACAAGTATTTTGTTATCCTAAAGAACTAGCAATCAAATGACTCCAACGACATTCTGCAAATATCCGTAAATCACCCATCATCAGAGAACTTCCTGAAATATTCATAAATACAGGGACTGACTTGAGAATGTGCAGAGACTGAGAGATCTTGGAACATTCAATGTGATGTCTCCTTCAAATCTGTTCCCACAGATCTTAGGGAGCCCTGCAAAAGAGGATGCTCACAGATGATGAATTCCTGAGGAAATGGAGGACACCAAGAAGACAATGCTTTCCAGACACAACAGGATTGATGCAGATGTGAACTCACTGATGTTGTCAGTTAGAAAAGTGGCACCTGAGAGAAACACGCCATGCTACAGGGTTCAACATAGGGCTTTTTTAAATTAAGGAAAGGAATAATAAAAATTGGAAAGGGAAGGTATCAGGCCTCTGGAGACAGGAGTAGCAGAAGATGGGAGACATAAAAGAGGGGGAAGAGAGGAAAGAGGGGAAATGAGAGGGTTTGAGAGGGAGAGGGGATCAGCAGGAGAGAGGGAGTGAAAGAAAGAGAGAGAAGAATGGGAGGCGGGAAGGGCCCTTCTGTAGAGGAACACAGAGAATGTGCACAGGTAGAACTCTTAGTGGCTGCAGCTGAGGGTGTGTCCTGAGGGTACCCTAAGGACAGGCCAGTACAGCTGCCCGAATACTAACACCTGAGACTCTTTGTCAGCATCACAGAGCCTTCCCAGGTCTAAACCAGATGGAGTCCCAATGTTAAGAGGGGAAGTGGACACCAGGCATCAGCCCTAAGCCAGAAGCTCTCTCCAACAGATAACTTGCTCACAGAGACAAAACGTTTTCCTTGGATGGTGTCTCACTGGGTACATAAACTACTCTGAAGGAATGTCACATGCCTAGAAGGAGATGGCTGACAGAAAATGAATTCAGTGATGGTTTTGGATATTCTTAATCTCATAATGCTTGTCAGATTTTTTCATTCTACAGGATATATATATATGAAATTTGGTCCTCTCTTTATGTTTTCTGGGATCTCTGTGTGTGCAAACTAGATATTCTGTGTCTAGATTTGTTTCTTTGGTACTTTTGCTTTGTTTGTTTAGTCCTGCTCCAGTTTGATGTTTCTATTTAATCTTATTCTATTTCATCATTGCTTCTGTTTCCTTTCTCATTATAATGAAAGATATAAACAGGAGTGTATGTGTATAAGAGAAGATGTGGCCTAGGTTGGGATTATTTGGGTGAGGGGAACATATCTGAGGTCTGTAATTTTGAAAAGTATAAAGCAGTTCAGGGAAGTAAAGCCGAATGCAATGTGGAGTCTGATCTAGATTGATAACAGGTAGTTTATTAAGTAATAGAAGTTAAGCAAGTCCACTCTGTGGAAGCAATGTCAGATAGTCTCCTGTTTGGAAACACACAATTAAATAATAGACTAAAAATCACTGTAACATTGACACACCCTGGAAAAGGAACCAAGTGTTACTGCATCTCATAATGCCTGTCCTACCACAAGGGTTCAGTGACTCACCTCACACTCAGCATCATGGGCTTGGTTTCTTTTGGCAATGTTACTGCAACCTTGTGGTATGTTTATATTCATGATTTAGAAACTCAAGCATAGGTTGAAAAGTCAAAGCTGGGCCTGGGCAGTCACTGGTGTGCAGCCATGGCCCTGTTGGCCTCCTCATTCTTGCTGCTGATTGTGCCTGCATGTGAGTGCCATGGATTCCTGCTGCATGATCTCCCATAATTTACTCTCTGTCAACCTTACCTTCTACTTTTTCCCCCACAGATGTCCTGTCCCAGGTTACCCTGAAGGAGTCTGGCCCTGGGCTGTTGCAACCTTCCCAGGACCTCAGTCTGACCTGCTCTTTCTCTGGGTTTTCACTGAGCACTTCTGGTATGGGTGTGGGCTGGGTCCAACAACCCTCAGGGAAGGGTCTCGAGGGGCTTGCAATCATTTGGTGGGATGATGACAAGAGGTACAACCCATCCCTGAAGAGCCGCCTCACCATCTCCAAGGACACCTCCAACAACCGGGTAACCCTCAAGATCACCAGTGTGGACACTGCAGATACTGCCACATACTACTGTGCTCAGAGATCACAATGACACAGCCTTGGCTGACAGCTGTACAATATTTCAGGCTGGTTCTCAGCTCTGTGTCTTCCTCCTGCAATTGATGGGTTTGGGAGTTGTCACAATTTCCTGCTAGCCTCTGGGGTTTCCTCTTTACTCTGAGTTTCAGATCCCTGGATTTCTGTTATACAAATGAGGCTAGCTTTAAAAATTATTTAGAAATGAGAAACTGTCTGTTGGGGTTTTAAAGAATAAGGTTTTCTGGTCACTGATCCAAGCAGATCGCAGATCAGGGTTGTTGTTCCACTTAGTCTTAGGCCTCAAATCCCCAGGACAGCACATGCTGAATTATTTTAACATTCATATTCAGTAAACTCCTGGATGTTGGGAAGACTGACATTTCTAGATAATCTTTTACAAAATGAGTCATTGGCCAAAGTGACTGCATGGAAACCACAAAATATCTCAAGCTATGACCTCAGGTAACTGGTTGCTCTCCACAAAGTGATGGTAACAATGGGATGCTTTTGGTGAAGACAACGCTTACATATATCACCTGACATGGAGAATGTGAGTTGGAGCCTAAGTGCAGCCCCAGCCCTCCTGACTACAGTTCACAGGAGTAGAGGTTACTTGGCATGCCCTAGAGGAGAATCAGCCTAACAGATCACTGTGACCTACAATGGTGACCTGCTGATGAGACTGAAATTAAAGCCCAGTCTGTGAATGTAGCCCATGCCTGAAAATACTAGAATGTTCTAGAACTAGAACTTTGACAAGATAGGCCATGGGCTTATGAGAAAATCACACGATCTGCTAAAGCAGTGATTTTCAACCTGTGTGGCAAACAAGTTAGGGATTTAACAACTCTTTCACAGAGTCCTAGGAATATTTTACAGGGGTCACATATCAGATGTCTTGGATGTCAGATATTTACATCATGACTCATAGTGGAAAATTGTAATTATGAAATAGCAATAAAATAATTTTAAGTTCCTTGTGATCACCACAACATGAGCACTGTATTAAAGGGCTGCAGCAATTGGAACTTTGAGGACAACCATGCTAAAGAAATACAACAATAAAGTGATTCTGAATGGCATGACCATTTCTGCACATTAATCTGTGCCTCACACAACTAACATTAGTGAAGTTTCTTCCAAAAGCATCCATCTGCCATGAAAATGTTCGGTTTCTGAAAAGCTTAAAATCAGTCATTTACAGCTGCAGTCAGCATCTCCAGATAAACAGCAGCCATTTCTCCCTGCAGCTGGGCTCTGTGAGCACTGAAGATGCAGGGAGTGTTACTGCTCATGGTATACAGTACAACTTCAGTGTAAGCCAAGAGAAATCAACCTGCAGGGAAGAGCAGCACCAGCAGGGGGCGCTATGGAGTCAATAATACACAGCAGAGAGCTGAGGTTGGTGTGGAGGGGGCTCTGTATCCTCTGTGGTTTCCTGTCTTGATTCTACAAGCTGACCGGCATCTGCTGTTGTTGACATGTGATGTTCCCATGCACAAATACAGCTGGACTAGGTCCTTAACTAAGAAGCACCCTGCTCATGAATATGCAAATCATATGACTTTATGGTGGTAAATACAGGAATGTCCACACCACTAACTCCATATGATCCGTGTCCTCTCCACAGTCACTGAGCACACTGGTCCTCACCATGGGATGGAGCTGGATTATCCTCTTCCTGGTGACAGCAGCTACGGGTAAGGGTCTCCAAGTTCCAGAAGTGAGGAGAGGTCATGTACTCAGGTGGCATTGATATCTACTCTGAGTTGCTCTCCACAGGTGTCCACTCCCAGGTCCAGCTGCAGCAGTCTGGGGCTGTGCTGGTGAAGCCTGGGTCCTCAGTGAAGGTGTCCTGCAAGGCTTCAGGCTTCACCTTCACCAGCATCTATATCAGCTGGGTGAAGCAGAAGCCTGGACATGGCCTGGAGAGGATTGGAAGTATTTTTCCTGCTTTTGATATTATTGACTATGGAGAGAAGTTTAAGGCCACACTGACTGCAGACACATCCTCCAGCACAGCCTACATGGAGCTCAGCAGCCTGACATCAGAGGACTCTGCAGTCTATTAATGTGCAAGAGACACAGTGAAAAACCACATCCTGAGTGTGTCAGAAACCCTGGAGGAGCAGGAAGCTGCCCTGGGTCTGAGATGTCAGAGAAGATCAACCTGGAGCCTTGTTTAAAATAACCATTCTGAGTGTCCCTTTGTCTGTTACTTCACAGAGTCCTTGCAAATTCTCAAAATCACAACTGTGCATGAGGTGATGCTGACTTAGGATGCCCTACTGTACACCACACTGTGATTTTCTCTTCACCAGTGACAACCTCTATTCTTTGGTTTCTTTATTAATCATACAATAAAAGTGAAAAGTGTGATTATGCATTAAGGTTAAAGTATCTCTGGACAATCTGAACCTGGGACCTTTGCTGGTACAGGTTTTAATAAACCAATATATGAATCAGATGTATAATAAACTCTTGCTGTGTAATCTAGTTCCAGTCTCTTAGAATGTGAGGTGTGTATCACAATGGACCACCACCTAAGTATAATTCCTATAAGTTGTTCAAAATATTATTACATTACTTTCACAAAAATCGTTAATCAAGTCAATGTAAGTACATAATCATTGTGGTTCATTCTGAGATCAGACAGTATTCTCTGGTTCCATATTTAGTTGATTCCCAGTGTCAGTCACCTGCCCCACAGTCTCAAGGCTTTATAGAACATGGATTTTTACTGATACAACATCATCTCTCAGAGGCCATTGGATACCTTTTGGCCACCTTTGTTCTACAGAGTGTGTGAATTTTGCCCTGGTAGAGTACTTGTAGACACTGTCCATCAGCTGTGCTGTCTATCAGTTCAGTTCATCATTAGGGGTCATTGCTACAGCTAGATCCAACAACAGCATAGAACAGACTGGGTTTCAGGAATCTGGAAAAAAATGAGGAACAGCTCACTTTTCATCTTTGTAATACCTACTCAACAGAACCATAGACAATGAAGACAGAAGGAAAAGCCATGGTTTGTGAGTTCATAGAGAAAATTATAATACTAGATTCTCCAAACCAGCAGGCAGCACTGTAGATCCACCAGTCCCTAAGAAATAAATGGTATCAGAAGCTGATAAAAACGTGCTCTGACGGAATTCCTACATCCTCTGCACATTTCACTGCCAACACCATTACATTCAGAGACTGTGGTGTAGATAGAAGATATGAAATACACTGGTTCCTGCTGCCTCTCCCCTGCAACGCTGGGTGCATCTGATTCATGATATTGAAGTTAGAGGAAAACAGACAGGTGTCAGCTGACTCTCTGTATCCTCTTTTCTTGTTTTAATATGTGTAGCTGCAGCTCAGACATTTATAACGACATGCAAACCAAATTGTATATAGTTATATTGGCTTTTCTCATTCCTGGGCTCACCTTCCAAATCCATCCTTCACGCATGAAAACATTCCAGTCTTTGAAAGCTTTATTAGCACACGCGCTGTCCACGAAAAAGAGGACAATGGACCACAAATGGGACAGAGAGAGAAAGAGACAGACCGACAGACACACAGAGAGAGACAGACACACACAGAGACAGAGGGGGGAGAGAGGAAGAGAGAGAGAGAGAGAGAGAGAGAGAGAGAGAGATGTCTAAGGACATGTTCTTCCACACATTAGGAACATTGGCAAAGTACTGTCCTTTCCTCCCACAACGGGAGTTCAGGAAATAGAGTGACTTACAGTGAAAATTTGCTTGGTTTCTTCTTCCTTCTCTTACAATCAACTCAGTTTTACAATTCTTTCTCAGAAACAAGACTGGTCTATGGAGTTATTGTGGGGAAGTAAGAACAATGTAATACCTCATAGTGTTCTCAGGACCTGTGGGGCCTCTCTGACCATTACCTCATTGGGAGTTTTCATGTACCCAGCACAGTGGCCTTCAATTACTCTCTCAGGTCGTCTGTGATGAGCACTGTCCACCATGCATTTACCTCTTTTCAAAGACTCAGAAGTTGATATAAACAGAAATCTCATCCACGTTCTTTCCACTCATATCTCTGCAGGCACGTATCTCACATAACATAGAACATGATCAGAACAAGCAGTGGGACAACACTAATAACTAAATGAGAAGTTCATCGACATCATTAATTTTCCATACAATTTTCTTAGATCTATTATTTTGATAAAAATAATATACCATCAGATCCATAAAACACACCAAAATCTGAACACAAAATTGTTCGCTCAAGTAAAGAAAACCTGAAATACAAAACTATGGATCTATGAACTGTTGATTATCCAGACATTTTGTTTTATTATTGCATCCTAATTGATGTTTCTCTTACTCTACAGTCCACTTTTGATTACTCACAGTATCGCTACTATGATTTGTTGTGCCATACGGATTCTATATCTTGTACAGATATATATGATAACTTATGTTTCAGGATACTTATATCAATATGGATGTATAAAAATTCATATCCTTTTATTTTTATTATTTTTTAATTTAACAAACTGCTGTTTCACCTATTTCACTCCTCCAAAACTTTGCCCATTTTCCCCTGACTCTCCATCCACTCCTCCATTTCTCTTCAGTGGAGGGGATGCCTCCCATGGATATCAACAAAACATGGCATGTCAGTTGGTGATACAACTTAGTATGAGGAGAACGGTCACAAAAGTCAGCAGGAGATTCACAGACAGCCCATGCTCCCACTTTCAGGAGTCCCAGAAGAAGAACATGCTACACATCTGTCAAACATATGCAGAGACCCTAGGTCAGTCCCATTCACACGCTATGGTGGTCAGTAAAGTCTGTTGTGTGAGAAGTGCCTAATGTCTTTGATGCAGCAAGTAGTGCTATGAACTTTCCTCTTGTCACTCCTTTCATAGTGCCCCAATGTTTGGATGTGTTGTGCATTCATTGTCATTGAATGCTTGGAAGTCTCTTGTTTTTTTCTTTGTTTATAACTTGACCCAGTCGTCATTCAGGAGGAAGTTGTTTAGTTTCCATGAGTTTGTAGCCTTCTGTTTCTTCTGTAGTTGTTGATATCCAATGTGAATTCACGGTGGTCTTATAGATCACAGGGAGTTATTTTAATTTTCGTGTTGCTGTTGAGACTTGCTTTATGATGGGTCTGTGGAACAGATGCAAAGACTGATCAGCAAAGGAGGTCACTGCTTCCATCTAGAGTTTCTTCCTTTTGCTCACCCACATATAATAACCATGCTAAATAACTGAAACCTGTTAAAAAATGATTTGGTCACCAAAAGACTCAAAGCAAAAGTGATTTCAGGTCATCAGCTCACTGCATTTGTTGGTTCAAATGAAGTCACTTTCCTGAAAGTGCCACAGAAACAATCACGTCATAGTCCATAAGAACTCTTAGCCATAACAATGATTCTCTAATAGCTGAATTAATTAATCATTTGAAAGATTACTTCCCATCTCTCCTTTCTAATAAAGGGGTGACTTACAGAAGGGTCCTCTTGAGACAGATGCCACAGCCACCAAGAAAGTCCTACATCCTCAGGGCTATTGGAGAGACAGGAAGACATAAAACCATGGCACTAAAAACCAGGTAACAGACTCCTCTGCTTCCACTCTTTGTCTGGTAACCACAGACAAGGAACCTATATTCACTTTGAAGAAAAATAATGGTACAAATGTCAAAGATGTTAACTAACACACCCCAAACACAAACAAGTGGCATATAAGTAAAAGCAGTTTGTGTTGGTTTAGGATTTATCAAGGAATAGCCTTTTATTCTCATGTTTATGTAATATGTATATACATATTACATATTATTATATATACATATGCACTTATTCTATAATGAGGATGAAACTTGGGTCTTTGTGCATGTTAAAATTTCCCCCGTGGTGTCCTGAG